GAAAAATAATAAATAATTAAAATAAGAATACAATGAAATAAGAATGAATATAAATAAATAGATTAAATACAAATAAATAATAAAATAAAAATAAACATAAACATAAAAATAAATATAAAAAGAAAATAAGTCTGTCCGCGTTCATCAAGTACATTAACCATAATGATTATAATCTCCATTTTACCCCTTCCATACATACAACACAGATTGATTTCCTTAATCTAACTTTGTATGTGGAAGAAGGTCAATTACATTAAAAAAAAACAAAAAAACAAAAAAAAAACTTCTTTAAGTCAACAGTTTGCAATACTGCCATTAACAATAAGAGTTTACATCCATCCCTTATGGTTAGATAATGTTCCTAAGGGACAAATGACAAGAATCAGGAGAAATTGTTCTGATTTAAGATTATTTGATTAAGCTAGGTATATTGATAAGGGGTATAATTAGAAAAAGAAATGGAGAGAGATTAAATAGTGGTAAGGGATTTAGATAGATCAGAACTTCTTATAGATAACACAAATAAGATTAAAAATAAAAAACATGAAACCAGTTAGGCAAAATAAGTTTGAATATGCCTTTGTAACCCAATATAATGTCCATGCACATAGGATTGAAAAGGTGCTAAAAAAAAACCAAAACACTGGCATATCCTCCAGAATGTTGACATCTCAGGTAAGATCATCCCTGACCGTCCAGTTAGGATTAAAAAAAACAAAACAAACAGGTAACATCAAAAATAAATAAGCTCCGAGTTTGCTTCCAGATGGTAAAAATAAGAACCAAAGAACAAGAATGTCAAATATGAAAAACAGAGAAGGGGTTCTATAGTTGTGATAACTGTTCAACAAGAGTGTCACAAATAATTGTATTGGTACTTACAGAAGGAATACACAATTAAAAGGTTTATACAATGTTAATCTGATTTACATGTCACAATGTGGCTGTGGGGCCCAATATGTGGGCAGAACAACACACAAGTTACACGTAAGAATACAAGAACATTTCAAAAATATATATGGAAATGGAAGACTGATCACAGTTTCCCCAGACACTGTAATACATGTCCATGTCCATTTTTTTTTTTTTTTTATAGCCATAGGGATAGATCAGATGTCAATAAATTGGAGAGGAGGAAATAGGTATATGGGGCTGGCTATAAAAGAAGCCCAATTGATTTTTAATTTAAAAACCCTTAAGTCAAGTCTTAATATAGATATGGATTTGGCTGGGCTAATTTAATTCTCATTTTTATCTATCTAATTTTGTTTATAAACTTAGTTTATTATACCACTATACATGGATCGATTGTCAACGGACATCTCCTGTTTTTTTTTTGTTTTTTTTATTATTATTCTTTATTTTTATTTATATTTATTTATAAATATTCTTTATGTATTGTCATACATTTTATTTTTATATATATGTCAGCACTCACAGGATTTTTAAATGAAGCTTCTTTTTGCTCCAAAATATCAACGTTTCACTTCCTATCAGGAACTTTCATCAGGATAACAATCGTGTGTGTATGTTTATATATGTGTGCACTCACAGGTTTTTTGAAGAAAGTGTTGTTTATTGCATACAAGCAAAACGTGACAAAAATGGTCCCGATCGACGTTTGAACATTAAACAGCACTTGTTTATAGCACTAAACAATTCCAGCCCCTCTTATCCCTCCTCGTTCCCTCCGCTCTGCCCGTGACCACCTACTGACGGCTGCTCGCACCCGTATGGCCAACTCGCGCTTGCAGGACTTCTCGGGGGGCGGCTCCTCTCCTATGGAATAGCCTGCCTACCCCCATCAGACTCTCCCCTAGTCTTCAATCGTTTAAGAAGGGCCTTAAAACCCATCTCTTTAGGAAAGCTTATGGCCTCATACCTGTCTCTTGCTCTCTCCTATAGGGCAGTGCTTTACTCTCTCCTCCAGCTCTGCTCCACTCCCACCCTATTTGATTGATATTTCCTGTCCTAATGTGTTTTATACCCCACCTCCTATAGACTAAGTTCATTTGAGCAGGGTTCTCTTCAACCTATTGTTCCTGTAAGTTTTCTTGTAATTGTCCTATTTATAGTTACATCCCCCCTCTCATAATATTGTAAAGCGCTACAGAATCTGTTGGCACTATAAAAATGCCAATAATAATAAATATTTTATCAGGCAAGATACATTGAGTTTTCTCTCGTTTTCAAGTATGTCCTGGGTCCACGAAACATTGCTTGATACATTATGGTACAATAAAATACAAAAACAATATTAATACACAATATATACAAAATTTAACATAGAACAGGTAGGAAATATATAATCAACCATGACACATGCATTCTGTTTTGAGGTATGCAGAGAGGGATCTCTTAAAAGACTTTAGGCTTGGGGAAGATTTTAAAGTGTGCGGGAGGTCGTTCCACAATTGTGGCACTCTGTAGGAGAAGGGGGATCCGGCTGCTTTCTTTTTGTATTGAGGTAGACTAAATAAAGTGCTGGTGCTGGTACTGGATCGGAGGTTATAGTAGGTGGGAAGAGCCAAGGAGAGCATTTTGCTCAGGTAGTGCGGGGGTTTCCTAGATAAAGCTCTTAAACACAAGGCTGGAAAGATGAAGGGTGCATCTGGATTCCAGCAACAGCCAGTTTAGTTCTTTTAGCATGTCACAATAGTGGGTCCTGTAATTACATTGTAGCACAAATCGGCAGAACATATTGAGTTTATTGATGTGAGATTGCGGTGCAGGTGCATATACTACATCCCCATAATCAATGATCGGCATCGGCATTTGCTGTACAATCTTTTCCTTTACTGTAAGGCTTAGGCAGGATTTGTTTCTGTACAGGGCACCTAGTTTTGGATAAAGTTTAGATGCATGTTTTTCTATGTTGAGGCCACAAGATAAATTGGGGTCTAACAACATACACAAGTATTTAAGAGTGGACTGTGGTCAGTGTGCTATTTGAATTTGTTTTGATGGATAGGTGGAAATTGTGCAATTTGTGTAATTTAGGTACTGTTCCAAAGATCATTGTGAAAGTTTTGTCAGTGTTTTGGAAGAGTTTGTTTTTTGCAATCCACTTTTCTACCTCTTTAAACTGGTCTTGGAGCACAGCCTCAAGCTGCAGTAGATCGGATTTGCTCGCATAGATTACTGTGTCGTCTGCATATATCCCGGCTTTATCTCTAGGGATTCACCTATCCATTTACAATCCATGCATAATGCTTGCATTCATTATAAATGTATTGGGAACTCTGTTCTGGTATGTTTTTTCTTATGTTCATGTTGCTGTTATAATGCCTATGTTGCCATTTTTCAAGATTCTTATTATAGGCGCACGTGCATGATTATATGTGCACACACATGCACTTTTCTCATTCAATATGCCTTGTGGACTGAGACGGAAGTCGGAAGTGACATAAACCAGTGGTTCCCAACCCAGTCCTCAAGGCATCCTGACCAGTCCAGGGTTTAGGGATTACCCAGTTGTGTCTAAGGTGTTTTTACAAAGAAGAAAAATAAACACCTTACACACAACTTGGTAATCCTTAAATCCTGGACTGGTCGGGGTGCCTTGAGGACTGGGTTGGGAACCACTGACATAAATACACAGGAACTAAATTGCGTTCCACGGTGGAACGCACATGAACGCAAGCTGATCGGAAGGTCTGAAATTAAGAAGCATATATAAACAAAGAACTTGGACAATGTCCCAGATTCCTTGAGGAAGTTCACAACCTGGAAGAAACATGTTGGATACCATTTTTCAGACTTTTATTTGATTTTATTGTTTCCTATTTTTCTGTCCCTTTTGTTGGGCTATTGTTTGATGTTCCACCTACCTCTTGTAGTATGCTGTTCCAGGTCCACTTTGGATGGAGATAAGCCTGAACATATTGCCTTCTTGTAAGTGCAATTTTAAGTATTGAAATGTTTGTTTTTACTTTATTACGCATTTGGTTTTCCTTTGCTATTTGCAGTTGCCAGCCAAAATACCTACTAGATGCATAACTTCTTTTGTGGGGAGAGAAGCCTCAATTTCCAGACGTCTCGTGAGCTTTTTTCACTTCCCCCTCCCTTATCCCCCTTTTTTATGTACTGTATAACGCTATGGGCATTTTCTTTTTTAATAAAAATATAAATAAATAATAATAAATAAAAAAAATCCCTCTTCTAGATACATGTTATCAGATGGTATTCATTCTCTTTAGTGTGGAACTTCCCCTTATACTGTGTACAACTACTTGTTTAATTTTGAAATTAAATAAAATATATTCAAATTTTTAACCTTTCTTCGTAACTAAAATGCTCCATTCCTTCTATCAATCTTGTAGCTCGTCTCTGCACTTTTTCTGGTGCCATGATGTCCTTCTTTATAACAGATGACCAAAATTGCACAGCATATTCAATTGTGGTCTTACCAGCGATTTATGAAGAGGCAAAATTATATTTTCATCCCAATAATTTATGCCCCTATTTATACGTGTGCGAGTGGCTTTTCTGGAAGCTCAGATTGGAAATCTCAAGAAGCAAATTGCAACATTGAGGTAAATTGACAATCTTGAGAGGAGTCTGCTGTTCACTGAGCAGAGCTTAGTGGGGGCAGGTAGTGGAGAGGGAGGTGATAAGATTGATGTGGAACATGCACGTAGCTGGGTGACAACGGGGCGAGGAAGCAGATGGGAGGGAAGAGGAAAAGGCTGGTTATTCCTGATTTAGTGCAACCTAGCAGATTTGCCCGTTTGAGTGAAGATGTTGGGAGCATCAGCTTTGGAGTAGCTGTATTAGAGGAAGCTGTTACTTTTAACAGCCGAGGGAACAGCCTCTCTAGTATGGATGGGGATGAAAATGTAAGGAAGGCTAGAAAGTTGTGGTGGTAGAGGACTCTATCATTAGGAGAGTAGATAAGGAAACTGCCGCTCTGATCGGCTCAACCGGACTGTTTGCTGTCTCCCGGGTGCTTGGGTCCGGCATGTTGCTGACAGAGTGCATGGATTATTGGGAGGGGGTGGGGATGACCCAGCATCCATGGTTCATTCTGGTACCAATGATAAAGTAAGAGGAAAATCGAAGGTCCTAAAGAATAATTTCAGGGAATTAGGTAGCAAATTTAAGAAAAGGACCTCAAAGGTGGAATTCTGAGATATTACCTGTGCCACACGCTACAGTGGAAAGGCAGTGGGAGATTAGAGATGTCAATGCATGGCTTAAGTCTTGGTGCAGGAAGGAGGTTTTGGGGTTTTTAGAGCATTGGCCTGACTTTGCGCTTGGGTGCAACCTTTATAGTAGTGATGGGTTGCACCTAAACGGGAGAGGGTCTGCAGTGCTGGGGGATAGGATGGCTAGAAGGTTGGATGAAATATTAAACTAGTAGTGTGGGGGGGGGGCGTCATAGCAGTCTACAAAATGGAGATAGGACAGAAAGGAGACAGGCTTTAATTCAGTATAAGGGGGATGGAAATGGGAGGTGGGGGGGCGGGAGCTCAGCACAGAGAAGGTAATTAATGTTGGTAATTCACAAAAAGTACAAGTGACTCGTGATATTAAAGGTATGCTTACTAATGCAAGGAGCCTAAATAACAAAATGGGAGAACTAGAGACAATAGAATACACTAAACAATATGCCATAATAGGCATAACTGAAACATGGTGGGATGAGACACATGACTGAGAAGTTAACTTAAATGGGTAGATGTTATTTAAGAAGGATAGGGGAAACAAGAAGGGTGGTGGGGTATGTTTGGATGTCAACCATGAGTTAAGCCAAATCTTAAGCAAGTGGAATGTGATGAGGAAAATGTGGATGCTTTATGGGTAAATATCTGCTTGGGGGGAAAGAAGGGTTAAAGCCGTGTAAGATGTTCCCCTTCCGAGTGCAAAGGCGGATACCAATCACTCCAAACAGCCGAACAGAAATCATACAAATCAGCCACACCATCCGAATGCTCCAAACAGCCGAACGGGAGAAAACCATACAAATAAATCCCCCCAAGTACCAGACAGAGCTCTGTATTGAGGGTCAGCAGGAATCTGGTTTAATGTGGGCTACATGCCCGGTATTTATGTAGGTTTTCCACCAGGTGGACCCTCCCCTAGGGGACCTGGTGGAAAACTGGTACAAAATATTACAGTCACCAAAAAGAGAGAAACACTCCAACCAGCATATTGTAAACCCTCCTCTCTATCCTGGAGATAATTGGGAAGTAACTCAGTTATCTCCAAGGATAAAGGCTAAGACTCCATTTTACATGTGGTGATGAAAACACACAAAAAATATATAATATACAAACTACCGAACAGAATAATGGGTATTCAACACATCCCCAGATAGCTTAGATCTGAGCGCACATTATTATCAAATGGTGCTCCGATCACATACATATAGTTCAATTGCCATGGAGCCGAAGACTTTCACATAGTCTTTCGTTATACAAATGGGCTCCATGGCATCGCTATCTGGGGTAAGTCCATTCATGCAGAAAAGTACTGAACGGGCTGGCATATGTATGCTGGATGAACAGAAGAATGGAGGTCGGCGGCTTCAGCGGTGTTCATGAGAAATAGTTTCCATTTGTAGTTCCATGAAATTGTTGACAAACACCGCTGGGCGTTCGTACGTCCAAGATGGCCGCCACCTCGTGGTCTGCATACGGACGACGACCACCCAGTCAACATTCGACAATTTTGAAGTGTCTGCGGTTAACCACAACGTTCTGATGAGGCCAAGAGTTTAACAGGCAGCACACTTCCATGCTTGGTGCCCGGACGTTCAGCAGTTGTTCTGAAAAATGAAGAAATAAACGTGGGGGCTGTACGGACAGGGAAATATCCGAACAAACAGACAAATGAAGGGAAAATAAAAGTAATTCACATACAGATTGTTCTGTCACAGAAGAGAAATCAGCTATTGGTTGGGATATGTTATAAACCACCTAATGTTTATATTGACAAGGAACAACAGCTGTTTGAGCAAATTGAGAAAGCTGCAAATCTGGGTAACACTTTAATTATTGGAGATTTTAATTACCTGTACATAAATTGGGACAGAGGGACTAGTAGCTCAGCAAAGGGATCAACCCTCTGTCATTTAGAAGTTAAATCCCTTTGTTTATGAACCATAGTCACACCTCCCTGCATGTGACTTGCACAGCCTTCCATAAACACTTCCTGTAAAGAGAGCCCTATTTAGGCTTTCTTTATCGCAAGTTCTGTTTAATTAAGGTTTTCTTATCCCCTGCTATGTTAATAGCTTGCTAGACCCTGCAAGAGCTTCCTGTATGTGATTAAAGTTCAATTTAGAGATTGATATACAATTATTTAAGGTTAATACCATCTGTTTGAAAGTGAAACCATTTTTTTTTTTTTTCAATGCAGGCTGTGTCAGTCATAGCCAGGGGAGGTGTGGCTAGGGCTGCAGAAACAGAAACAAAGTGATTTAACTCCTAAATGACAGTGAATTGAGCAGTGAAATTGCAGGGGAATGATATATACACTAAAACTGCTTTATTTAGCTAAAGTAATTTAGGTGACTATAGTGTCCCTTTAATAATAGGCCTTTGCATGGCACTCAAGGCTGCCAGAGCCAAACAGTCTGTGGGCTATCTGGAGTCCCAGTGGGATTTAAGATATTTACAAGTGTAACACAACCTGCCATTACAAGTGATGAGGAAAAATCCTTAATTTAATTATCACAGCTCCTGCCCTTGATCTGTACCTAGCCAGTCCATGCCAGCCTACTCGTCTTCAGGGAAGTCACCCAGACTGCTAGGTATATACATAGCTGCAGAATAAGCTTCCCCCACATACAACTAATACAAACAGCCTACACACAAACACACACACACAGTTGCCACAAACCTAACAACACTGACAATCCACATGCACACAAACAACCCCACAAGCCACATCTGCCTATCACACACAATTCCACAATTAGCCCCCATACACCGCTCAAATTCATAGGTATCATACACAATACCACAAACTATTCATGAACTTTTACAATATAACAACACACATACACACAAATACAACACCACAAAGCAACTGTAGCACCCATAAATAACACAAACACAATCTGGCAATATACACTGCTCAGCAAAAAAATAAATACATACTATGACTAGCAGGTCAATCTCGTTTTGGCAACCACAGTTGTATTTATCAATGCACTTTGGCTTCTTGATTTGTGCATTGCTTCTGCGGACTGACACATGCACTGTGCTCTCATTGTGAAGTGTGGACACCACACTTTTATAAAACACAACATTTCATGGTACAGCGTTGAACATATAACAAGAACGTAAAGAGTAAGGTTGGCCAGTATGTGACCTTTAGTGAAAATGACTTATGCCCAAAGCGGGAATGCTATTAGTCAACAAGTATCTGCTTATTGTGCTAAGGAGAAGTGCAAATAGCAAATAACTACATATGTAACCAGAGAGTTGATAAGCAAGAGACGGTGAACGATCAATGCCTCCACTAGAGTTACAGTAGGATAACATGCCTATTCATAGAGGCTGTCGGTTTCAAAGTCAGTGAGGCATCATTGTACGTCATCTGGGGATGCAGGGGACAGTCAACTGGTAACTGCCTTCCCTCATCTATCTGTGCTCATTGGTCAGGGAGTGTGAGTTTTGAGATTGGCAGTATGTCAAGGGGGGGGGGGAGGGGCCGAGGGGAGAAGAGAAACAGCTTGGGGTTTGTAAGAGAGAGGGGAGAGGAAGGAAAATAAAAGGGTTTAAGTGCCTGCTCTGTTGCTGGTCGTGTACATCAACCATGGGGTCCAGGTTCTAGTGCAGGCATCCAAGCAGCCTTGTAAGGCTGCACTCAGTGATTCCATAGAGTATATCTCACTCATCCTTTCCACCCATTTCTAGAAGGATGGCACCCCACTCTCTTCCAGAGCGTAGGTATGAGAAATTGTGCCCCTGTAAGTGGGTGTTTAGTCAGTGTGGTGGGTAGAGGTTGGAGAGGTAGGCCAGAGTCTGTTATTTGTCTGATCTTTGTGTTCACCATCGTCTGAAAGGGGATGGTAGCCGGGCACGTCCACCATATGTGGAACATGGTTCCGTCCTCCGCTCCGCACCTCCAGGTTATGTGGGGTATCTGCATTTATGCGGTGTAGTGAGTCAGGTGTTCTGTACCAGTTAGATAGTAGCTTATAGCTTGTTTCTTGGTATTTCGAGCTGATTGAGCATTTGTGTGTTAGTATGTAGATTTAATCCCAGTCTTGTTCAGTTAGTCTCTCCCGTCACACTTTCCCACTTTGCAATGGACCGCAAAGAGCATGTTATATAGCATAGTGATGTCTTTGGTCACATGCTGGCGGGATGTGCAGAGTGACTCAAAGTGGATGAGATGCCTGTGTAGGAGACATCTGCCAGGGCTCGTTGTGTAGTAAGTTCTGATTTGGTGATAGCGGTATTTGTCCAGGCCTGTCAAGGTGGCGTTAGGGAACATAATGTCCAGTGGTTTGAGTTGAGCACCCTCACACAACAGGCAATATATATGACCAATCCGTCCGGTAAATATTGTGGAGGTCAGCCAGGGGTAAACACCCGCCTAGGTCTGGGTTGTAGGTGATGGGTTTTAAAGGGTTAGGGGACGTGGTCAGTTGTTGTTTGTAACGCAGAAGGCACCGCACTTTAAGTGCAGCATCAATCAGGGGGTTTCCCGTTTGGAGGGAGCTGAATGCAAGTTTGCCATGCCAAAGCTGTGCCGGTAGCTTGCTCGCGGTTTGCATGTTCTCTATGTCAACCCAGATTTTCGTGGTGGAGAGGGCATGCCAGTTAATTACTCTGAGAAAGTGAGTTGCATGATAGTAACCAATTATCGAGCGGGGGACAACTTCACCTTGGATTTTGGGCAGTTCTAGTTGTTTTACCTATGCCGGGTTCTCTGTTGTTCCACATAAGCCGTCTAATGGCTGTGGAGATTCCCTGGAAGAATGCCCAAGGTAGCTCCTTCGGTTTCATTTGAAAGAGGTATAATTGCCTAGGGAGGACATTCATCTTTACCACATTGATGTGGCCAAACCGGGATATGTATAGTCCGGACCAGCGGTGCATGTCCTTCTGAAGGGAGGCAAAGAGTGGAAGAAAGTTCAGTTGGTAGAGGTGGGACAAGTCCATGGGCAGCCAGGTACCCAAGTATTTGAGTTTTTTGTGCACCACAAGAAGTGGAATTGGTAGCAGAGATGGGTCTCCAGGTTGTGGGGTATCAAAATGTTCAGTGCTTCAGATTTGTCTAATTAGAGAGTTGGCCATAGTCTCTGAAAGTAAGGAACGGGTTGGGCAGGGACACTTGTTTGTTTTCTATGAAGAATAGCATAGGCCTCGACCTGATGTTCTGTGTGGCCTATGGTGCATCCCATAATACCCCCATCCTGTCTGACCGCCTCCACGAACGGCTCTAGAGAGAAGGCAAACATTAAGTGGGGCAGGCCTGCCCGGTTCCATTTCGTATAGCGAAAGGGGCCGAAAGAGCACCATTGACCCGTACCCATGCCCGGGTTTGTGTACAGGGATGATATCCATGAGCACATGTGGTGGCTGAACCCAATGTGTTGGAGCATGACATCCAGATGTCTCCAGTCCACCCGCTCGATCACTTTTCCAACGTTCGTGGAGAGCAAGACCAGCTTTTTTCCCCTTCGACCGGGCGGCATGGATCACATTGAGGGCACAGATGGTGTTTTCCCTCACCTCCCTGCCCGGGATAAAGCAGGTTGGAAGGACGTGTGTCAGTTAGAGGGTCAAGGTTTTGGCGAAGAGCTTGCAAGTCAATGTCAGGTAACAATGACCCTGGGCCGGATTGTATGGTGTGGGTGAGTGCGGTGGTCGTGTGCCTGCTCTCACACAGGTCCCAGCCTAATGTACAAAGTGGGTCTGTCACGTGGGATGAGTGGTTGCCTAACTAGATTGTGAAGGACTCCGTCTGCATCCTGCCCACTTGAACAATGTAAGATCTCCATAACCTGTACCACTGCAGCACAATATATTACAGCCTTAAAAGGAAAAAAAACAAGCTTAATAAACCTAAATATGAGCTCCCCTGTAACCAGCAGGCATGAGTGTCACCTTGCAGGCTATCAAGTGGTGCCCAGTGTGGTGTATACTTTGGTATATATACTGAACACAATTATAAATGCAACACTTTTGTTTTTGCCTCCGTTTTTCATGAATTGAACTCAAAAATCTGAGAGATACATAAAAGGCCTATTTCTCACAAATATTCACAAATCTGTCTAAATCTGTGTCAGTGAGAACTTCACCTTTGACAGGATAATCCATCCACCTCACAAGTGTGGTATATCAAAACAATTTGATTATTGCATAGGTGTGCCTGAGAGACCAGCCACCCAGACAGCTGCTGCAATAAAAATTTCTGCACAAACTGTCTGAAACTGTCTCAGGGAAGCTAGTCTGCATGCTCATCATTCTCATCTGGGTCTCAACCTGACTGCAGTTCGTCATAACCGACTTGAGTGGGCAAATGCTCACATTCAATGGTGTCTGACACTTTGCCGAGATAATCCATCCACCTCACAGGTGTATTATATCAAGACATTATGATTATTGCACAGGTGTGCCTTAATCTGGCCACAATAAAAGGCCACTCTAAAATGCACAGTTTTATCACACAGCACAATGCCACAGATGTCACAAGTTTTAAGGGAGCGTTGAATTGGCATGCTGACTGCAGGAATGTCCACCAGAGCTGCTGCCCGTGAATTAAATGTTCATTTCTCTACCATAAGCCATCTCTAAAGGCATTAAGGATAATTTGGCAGTACATCCAACCGGCCTCACGACCGCAGACCACATGTAAGCACACCAGCCCAGGACCTCCACATCCAGCATTTTCACCTCCAAGATTGTCTGGGACCAGCCACCCAGACAGCTGCTGCAACAATCAGTTTACATAACCAAACAATTTCTGCACAAGCTGTCTGAAACCGTCTCAGGGAAGCTCGTCTTCCTCATCCGTGTCTCGACCTGGCTGCAGTTCGTCATCATAACCAACTTGAGTGGGCAAATGATCAGATTCAATGGTGTCTGGCACTTTGGAGAGGTGTTCTTTTCACAGATGGATCCTGGTTTTCACTGTACAGGGCAGATGACAGACATCGTGCATGGCTTCATGTGGGTGAGTGGTTTGCTGTCAACGTTGTGGATCGAGTGGCCCATGGTGGCAGTGGGGTTATGTTATGGGCACACATATGTTATGGGCATCAAACACAGGTGCATTTTATTAATGGCCTTTTTAATGCACAAATATACCATGACAAGATACCATTGTTGTGCCATTCATCCATGTCCATCACCTCATGTTGCGGCATGATGATGCACTGCCCCATGTTGCAAGAATCTGTACCCAATTTCTGGAAGCTGAAACCATTGCAGTTCTTGCATGGTCAGTATACTCACCAGGCATATCACCGATTGAGCATGTTTGGGATGCACTGGAACTGCATATACGGCAGCGTGTTCAAGATCCTGCCAATATCCAGTAGCTTCGCACAGCCATTGAAGAGGAGTGGACCAACATTCCATAGGCCACAATCAGCAACCTGATCAACTCTATGCAAAGGAGATGTGTTGCACTGCGTGAGGCAAATGATGGTCATGCCAGATGCTGACTTGTTTTTGTCCCCTCCCCAATACAGTAAAACGGCACTTTTTAGAGTGACCTTTTATTGTGGCCAGCCTAAGGCACACCTTTGCAATAATCATGTTGTCTAATCAGCATCTTGATAAGGGCTCACTAACACAGATTTAGACAGGTTTGTGAAGAATATTTAAAAGAAATAGGAATTTTGTGTACACAAATTCTTAGATCTTTGATTTTAGTTCATAAAAAATGAGGGCAAAAACCAAAGTGTTGCATTTGTAATTTTGTTCAAAATATATATATATATATATATATATATATATATATATATATATATATATATATATATATATATATATATATATATATATATATATATATATATACACATATATTTATTTATTTATTTATTTATTTTATTTTTTTGGGTGGGGGGGTCGTTAGGCATCACCTATTGTGCTCACCTGTTCTGTGTCTACTTCTATAAACCAGGATTATTTTGTTGTTCCAGGCTCAGTCTGGTGGGCAATGCTGCACTTTTAAATATTGGCAGCCTATGTAAGGACCTGGCGGGTCAGCCGACTGTGCATCTTCCTATCTAACTGGAAGGGGCTCCCTTGTGTCTGCTAGGGGTGCCTGATGATTCCGGGGATCTCTGGACGGCCCAGACTGCCTAGTTGAGTGGTGTGCATGTTCTGTTCCCTTCTAATCAGGACCCAGTACTTGCCCAATGCGTCCCACCCTAGCAGGCCTCAGTGCTTGCCTAGGGGGCTCTCCAGGGCAATGAGGCACTAAGCCACATAGAAAGTAAGCAAAGTGGCGCCGGGGCACCTCGGGCAGGCAACCCCACGACACACTGACATCCGGGCCCAAACCACACAAGCCGACTGGGCCCCAAAAAGGTGCCCTCCCTGAGCGTTCACCAGTATGGCTGCAAAAGAGATCACTCCAAGGCCCTCCTGGCTATTAGTCGCCATGGTTCGTAGGTGGCCGGGGTTGAGGCCAGGTCTCGCCATGTGTTATTATTTAGAGAATGTGTCCCAGAGGAACCCCCCACAATATCAAGCAAAGGCACCCGTGTACCCACTCCCAAACAATCCGTGTGTGACAGAACTATCTGTCTGTTTATTGCGGTGGATTCGTCTGTTTCTGCCCCGTTCATGTAAATGGCTGTTTCCTATAGCCCAGCCATATGAATGACTGTTTTCCCGAACAAAACTACTGAACAGGTGGCCACCCAGGAGAGAAGTGTGCTGCTGGTTAACCCATTGATCCCAATTAGAACGTTGTGGTTAACCGCAGACACTTCTCAATTAAACTGAATTCAGGGTGGTCGTTGTTCGTATGTTGACCACGAGGCAGCGGCCATTTTAAAACACGCGAAAGCCCAGTGGTGTTCGGCTCTATTTTCATGGAACTAAAAGCGGACACTTTTTCTGCCGAACACCGCTGAAACATCGGAACGCCTGTCTGCCTCCACGAAAGCATACGAACACCAGCCGTTCGGGAGTTTTGAAACACACGAAAGGACTTAACCCAGATAGCCTTCCCATGGCGATTGAACTATGTGTGTGGGATCTGAGCGCTATTCGCTAATAATATGCACTCAGATCCAGGCTATCTGGGGATATGTGATGCGAATGGGAAATGTTCGGTTATTGTAAAGTTATATATTTTTATGTATTTTCTAATGTTATATTTAAGATGGCGATTTGTCTTTGTCCTGGAGATAATTGAATTACTTCTCAATTATCTCCAGGGCAGAGGGGAGGGAACCATAGTGCATTGTGGGTAAAAGCTGTGACTGTATGTCTGGAATGTCTTTATGTCCATCTGTAATTCCAGTCTCCCATTTGGTCCCCTAGGGGAGTGTCTACCATGTGGGAGACCTACGTAAAAACGGGCAGGTAGCCCACAGTAAAGCCAGATCCTGTTTGACCCTCAATGCGGAGCTTCTGTCTCGTTATTGGGGGGATTTCTTCTTTGCGTTTAGAGACTGCTGGATGGAATCGGAAGCCGCTTGGTGGATATTGTTGTTCGGCGGCTAGCAGCAGTTCGTGGATTTCCGTTCGGGAGTTTGGAGCCTTTTACGGATCCCGTTCGGGAGATTACTGCTTCCCCTGGGTATGGTTCGTGGATTATAATTAATGCGAACGGTTTACGGAATTGCGAAAGGGGAAGGTGAACTAAATGGCGGTTTCCCTTAAAGACACCAGGGGTGTCTTAACAATTGGTGGCAGCGACGGGATGAATCCCACAGCACAGGAGGTCAGCTACACATCCCAATTGAGCAAAGGAAATGCAGTATGAGGAGTTAAGACGTGCTACTCTTAAGGATATACTGGAACGCCGAGGACGGTCAGCAAGCAACTTAAAGAAACGTGAGATTATTGCTTTGCTGGTAGAAATGGATGCAACACCGGGAATGGAGAGCGCTAATGTGCCCAGCATTTTGGATTTAACCCCCGAGGAAATACAATTTAACCGGGCAGTGCAAATAAGGCTGGCAAACTTTGGCCCCAACCCCTCTGCAGACATTGGAGAATGTGTGCAGGCAGCAGTGATGGCACACCAAGTGCTCCAAGAAAGAGGAGCTGCAGCAGTAGAGGTACCCAATAACAATTTTGGTAGAAAAAAGTAACCCTTTGCTGCATTTAAAAACTTTATTGAAACAGAGGGCGAGATTGATGGGTTCCTGGCCGATTTTGAAAGGCAGTGTGACCTACACCAGGTACCCGCAGATGAATGGGCTAGTGAAGCATTTCGGGCCATCCCAGAGGAGGAAATCACCAGCTACCGGGCTGTGAAGGATGCGCTCCTAGCCTGATATGCAGTGACCCCAGAAGCATACAGAAGGCGATTTAAGGGAAACCAACAAGCAGGTTGGTGACTCTTATGTAGAATGGGCCTGCAGAGTTCATCGTACCGCAGCCCACTGGATGGCATGATGCCAAGCAGTAACTTGGGAGGAGGTGCTGCAGGTGTTCTTGCTGGAACACTGCTTTGTCCGTTTGTCTACCGGGGTCCGGGAGTGGGTCAGAGATAGAAAACCCTCCACCTTACCCTCTACCCAGAGACGGCCCGTCTGGCAGATGAATACACAGATGCTCGTAAGCTGGACAGTACAGTCACCAAGGTCCCTGCCAGACTGGAATACCGACCGGCAGCAGCTCCAGCACCTACAGCCTACCAACCCCCAGTACACCGCACCCCAGCA